TTTATGTCAGCAGTCTGCAACCCGGACTAAACCTTTCTGTTACCTCATGCTCACCTTCTTCCCCTCTGTCCGGGATCCTGAGCAAGTGCACCACATTGAGGAAGATATTTCTGGACATGGAAGCAAAGGAACTCCCACCACATGTGAAATGTGCCCTGTGGATTGGTCTGGTTCCCTGAGCACATGTTCCTGTCCACTTCCTCCTGAAGCACTGGCAATTTCCTTGTATCAGGGAAGACAATAAGTCATAGTGAGATAGCCTTCCAAACACAAATCAGCCCATTTCAGTCCGTTTTAATGCCCCAGCCAACTTCAAGAAGTTAATATCCAGCATTGGGTATTACCTTCTGGGCAGGAGTCATTTGTTATGTACAGTACCAGTAAGTACCACGGTATTTTTCTCAAGCTGATCTTAGATGATTTTCTAGTCAAGGTTGGTATTACTCTGCTAGAAGTAACACCAAGTCTAAGACAACTGCAATTAATGAATATTAGATATTATCACCACTGTGTACTAAGCATCTGGAACAGGCATGCAAGAACCACAACCTGGAAATCAGAATTCTTTGAGCCTCTGAGGCACACACATTTTAAAAATTCACCTGAAAATATTGTGGCAAATCAGCCCCAGTTCCAACTAACCAAGAGGCAATGAGCAAAGTAATGGATAACTAAAAATGTTGAAAAAAAAAAAAGTTGCAACAACTCCATTGGCCCTGGGAAGCTTATAATATTGTGAAATTTATAATATTAAATTGGATAAAGATTCATCCATGTACTTTTGCATCACCCCAGAAGTCCTTTTCAGTCCATTCCAACTATTAAAGGTGTTCTTATGGTAACTCCCATTTTGTGGCCCATTTCTAGAATAAACTGTCCAGGGTACTCCATATCTAGTTAGCCCCCAAACCATATGAAGCATGGTTATTAACTGGGTGGTTGAAGAACCTCCTCTATTATACCATCTACCAACAAAATGATGTAGTCTACTACCTTGCCACAGTGACGCTTGCTTATAAAGAGCTCGTTGCATCCCTCTACCCGAAACATGCCCACGCTCTTTCACAGTCTGTGGCATGATTCTTACCTACCTTCAGGTAAGCCACCACTCTTCACCTAGGTGGCTTTCAAACTTGGAAGCTTCGAGAAACTAGTTACCCAAAATATCTTCCAACCTACAAAGACTGATGTGAGGAGTACGTCAATGGGTGCTTGTTTCTGGAAGGCACCCACATGGGTGATATTGTCCAGCACATTATAACCTCCAAGCACATTATAACCATCCATATGGGAACCTGGGAATCTACTATTTGGAAACCTATAATAGAGAATATCATCTGGCTGTACCCTTAAGGAAGATCCATCTGAGGCCTTAGGACCAGATGAAGAGGTCCCACTGTCACCTGCATCCAGACCAATAGTTACTACAGTCCAATGATCCCATTGCCCACTAGCAATATGTTCCTGCTCTTTCTCTTCAGTTTACATCTGCTTACTCACACTCCCTACTCTCCCAAAGTCAAACCACCAAACTCAAATGACACTGCTCCCATGAACTAGCCCCTCTCATTGCTGTAAACTGTGATGAAGCACAGATCAGCACCCTGGGCAGCCCAGGCTTCCAGAATTCTATATCCTGTAGAGAGAGGGGATTCGGACAGTGTCCCACCCTGGCTGTGTTATCATCTCAGAGAATATTAGAGGCACTTCCATAGAAGTGCAAAAGGGAGGGAGGAGAGGCAGAGTAGATGGAGTGGGGCCAAGCCATGAAGAAGGGGGAAAGCAGGAGCGGGGGAAGAACTTCAGAAAAGAAGAGGCATCCTCACCCTCCACAAGAGGTGAGGCAGCAATCTCAACAATTTTCAGAGAGAATGGTCAATTTTCATCCAGTTCCTGACAGCTCAGGATTCAGAAGGGTAAGCCAAATTCTATTTAAGCAGAACACGAATTTGTTAAAAGAGTATTGGTGGGATTATATAAAATGAAAAAGCTTCTGCCTGGCAAATAAACAAAATGGAAAGACAACCTGCAGATGAGAGAATATTTGAAAACCACGTATTTTGATAAAGGGTTAATACCCCCCAAAATATAAGAAACTCATAACTTTAGGGGAAAAATCTGATTTAAAAATGGGCAAAGGAATTCAAAAGACATTTCTCCAGAGAAGACACAGAAATGGCCAACAAGCATTTTATTTTTTTTTAATATATATATTTTATTGATTTTTGTACAGAGAGGAAGGGAGAGGGATAGGGAGTTAGAAACATCGATGAGAGAGAGTCATGGATCAGCTGCCTCTTGCACACCCCCTAATGGGGATATGCCTGCAACCAAAGTACATGCCCTTGACTGGAATCGAACCCGGGAGCCTTCAGTCCCCAAGCCGACGCTGTATCCATTGAGCCAAACCGGTTTCGGCCCAATAAGCATTTTAAAAGATCATTAATCATCAAAAAAATGCAAAATAAAACCACAATAAAATAACACTTCACATGTTTAAAAAAAACAAACATTAAAGATAAGTGTTGGTGAAGATGTGGAGAAAAGGGAATCACCGTGCACTGTTGGTGGGAATGCAAATTGGTGCAGCCATTATATAAAACAGTAAGTTCCTCCAAAAATTAAAAATAGAATTACCATATGATCCAGCAATTCTATTTCTGGATATATAGACAAAGGAATTAAAATCAGGATTTCAAGTTGATTTACGCACTCCCATATTCACTGCAACGTTATTCACAATACCCAAGACATGGAAGCAACATAAATGTCCACAGTGTATGAACAGATCAAGAAAATGCAGTGTATGTATACAGTGGAAATCTGCCATTTGCATTAACATGGATGAACCTGGAAGACACAGGCCAAATTCTACATGATACCATTTATATGAGGAACTTAAAATTATCAAACTCAGAAGCAGAGAGTAGGATGGTGTTGCCAGAGGTTAGGGGAAAGGACATGGGGGTAGGGGAGGGGCAGTAGTCAAAGGTTCCAGTTCCAGCTTTACAAGATGAGTAAGCCCTGGAGATCTAAGCAGCACAGAGCTTGTAGTTCCATTGCATTACAGATTTAAAAGTTTGCTCAGAGGGTAAATCTTGTTCAATGTTCTTATCGCAAAATAACACTAAAGAGGGTGTGAGGAAATCTCTGGAAGGAGTATAAATGTTTATGGTATAGATTTTAGTGATGATTTCATAGGTGTGTACTTACCTCCAAACTCATTAAGTTGTATAAAATATGTACAACTTTTTATGTCAATTACACAACACAGTAAAAAAAAATAGTTTTTTAAAAGTATTTGAAAATAAATTTTTTTTTAATTTTAAAAAGAAGAAAAGAATATTGGAAGCACATAAAAGCTGTAGAAGGAACAGAGAACCAAGCCTGATGGGTAGTAACCAGGAACACTGTTCCAAATCATGCTACAGACCTGGCGGGGCACAACTACTGCACTCAACGCTAGGGTAAGCACCGCTGGCACCAAGGCCTCTGGGCCCTCCATGTTGCTGCTGCAGACAAGCAGTTTCATTGCTGCAACTTCCCATCAATAGAGAAAGGCTTTACATACTCCTGCTTCTTTGCAACTTCATCTTTGATTCAAAATATGGAACAGATGTATTTGATTGGCCTAGCCAAACCCTCTGCCCAGGCCCTAGCTGTAAGAGCGGCTAAGTATCGTAGCCCAGTGATTTTCAACCTTGTTCGTCTCATGACACACAGAAATTACTAAACACCTACGACACACCAAAAAATGTATTTTTTTTTTGCTGACCTGACAAAAAAAATGAATAATTTTGATTCATTCACACCAAACAGCTATTGTTGTGGTGGCTGTTGTCATTTTTGTATTTGACAATCTAAGGGAAAAGAGGTCAATGCCCCCGACTAAATAGTCAGGTATTGCATGTTTTACAAATTCTTGCAGCACACCAGTGTGCCCCGTGTGCCCCAGCACACTGGTTGAAAATCAGTGTCTTAGTCTGTTCAGGATGCTATAACAAAATACCATAGACTGGGTGGCTTATAAACAACTGAAATTTATTTCTCACTCTTATGGAGGCTGAAGTCCAAGATCGGGGTGCCAGCATGGTCGGGTGAGGATCCTCTTCCAGGTCGCAGACTTCACTTTGTGTCCTCACATGGTGGGAGGGTTGAGGGAACTCTCTCAGGCCTCTTTTATAAGGACACTAATCCCATTGATGAAGGCTCTGTCCTCATGACCTAATCACCTCCCAAAGCCCCCACCTCCAAATACCATCACTTTGGGCATTAAATTTTCAAAGTATAAATTTGGAGAACACAAACATTCAGGCCATTAGCACTGGGTAAGGAAGATCTGGTCTTTTCAACTTAGTGATATAAAGGTTTTGCCTCATAGGGGATTCTCAAACCCTCATAAGAATACTGGATCTACACTCTACTACTCTGTCCTACCCCACCCCACCCTACTCTCCACTAGCCCCATCCTGTCCTTTCCATTATACTCAGCACGAATCAGGCTCCAAATCAATAGCAAGCTGAGCTCTCTCTAATACTTTTAACACTTGCTTTCCTGCTGCCTGAAATGTTCTTTCTGATACTACCATGTCCCACAAACTCCTCCTTACCCTCCAAGACTCAGCTCAAACAAAACTTTCCCTATAGATCAAATAAAGTTCTGCAAATTCGCCAGTCCCAAAAAGGGACTGTCTAGCCAGATTAAGTGCCTTTTTTCACCTGCACTAATCCTAAATATCTATACCTGGATTCCAGCAGGAAGCCACTCAAAGCCTAGGAGACAGGGAGGAGCAAGAAAGTGGGGAAGAAGGTCTCTTGATCTCAGGATTCTCCCTCCCTCCCCTCTGTCACAGGCATTGTGACTTGACTCCTGAGATGCCAAAAATGGAGAATCAGATGTGTGTGGCTAGGAGAGAACCCTGCCACGTGTGTGGATGGCATGGAGAGTAGAGGCTCAGAGAATCAAATAGTCCTATTTGTCAAATCTGATCTCGTTTCAGACCACAAGGAACTGGTGCCCACAAAGCTTCCCCCGATTATTTCAAAAGATGGGAATTATTCTGTGCACCAGAATAGCCACACAAAGTACCATGAAGCTGTGCGGAAGGTGCTGCTAAAGACATGTAAGTATCCCTGGGTAGGCTATGTCTTAAGCTCCTAAAAAATGGTCGGGTTGAGGTGGGGCATGTTATAAGGCAGGGAATAAAACGAACCAAGGAGAGAGACTAAGATGAGGGAGAAAGTGGACCTGAGTGGTGGAATGAGCAAGATAAAATAAAAATGGAATCAGACTTGAAGGCAGAAGGTCCAGGTTTGAGTCCAGTTCTGCCTCTCTTAAATGTCTCAACTTGAGTAGTCACTTATTCTTAATTAACCTGTTTTCTCATTCATTAAAAAAAAAAAAAAAACCACCACAAGAAACAGAAAATACCTGCTCTACTAATCTTACAGAATTGTTCTGAGGATCAAACCAAAAGTGTGGCAATTTAGGAATAGTGGTTGTATATTATTACATGCTATGCCTCCGAGGAGTGGTAGACCAAGCTCTAGCTTTGGAATCTGAACTGAGTTGAAGTTCCAAACAAGTTGTGTAACCTTGAGAAAATTCTTTTGAACATTTAACTGCTCCAAATCATCTGGAAATGGGAACAATACTCTAGCACTGTGTGAAAGTTAGAGATGTACACTTCAAAAAGCATCTAGAACAAACTACTGATACATTGGGCAACTTGTAGGAATCTCCAGGGAATTATGCCATGTAAAGAAAGCTGGTCCCTGAAAGAGCACATACTGTATGATGCTGATTTCATGAAATTCCTTTTTTCTTTCTTTCTTAAAAATATGGAATGCTTCACAAATTTGCATGTCATGCTTGCTAATCTCTATATCATTCCAATTTCAGTATTTATGCTGTGGACGCGAGCACTGTAACATTCTTTTTTAAAATATATTTGTAGCCGGAACCGGTTTGGCTCAGTGGATAGAGCATCGGCCTGTGGACTGAAAGGTCCCGGGTTCGATTCCGGGCAAGGGCATGTACCTTGGTTGCAGGCACATCCCCAGTAGAGGGTGTGCAAGAGGCAGCTGATCGATGATTCTCTCTCATCGATGTTTCTAGCTCTCTATCTCTCTCTCTTCCTCTCTGTGAAAAATCAATAAAAATATATTTAAAAAATAAATAAATAAAAATAAAATAAAATATATTTGTAGCTGAAACCGGTTTGGCTCAGTGGACAGAGCATCGGCCTGCGGACTGAAGGGTCCCAGGTTCGATTCCGGTCAAGGGCATGTACCTTGGTTGCAGGTACATCCCCAGTGGGGGGGGGGGGGTGCAGGAGGCAGCTGATGGATGTTTCTAACTCTGTCCCTCTCCTTTCCTCTCTGTTAAAAAAAAAAAAAAAAAATCAATAAAAAATATTTTTATACAATAAAATAAATTTGTATTGATTTCAGAGAGGAGGGGAGAGGGGAGAGAGAAACATCAGTAATGAGAGAGAATCATTGATTGGCTGCCTCCTGCACACCTCACACTGGGGGCTGAGCCCGCAATCAGGGAGCAACCTGGGCATATGCCCTGACCAGGAACCAAACCCTGACCTCCTGGTTCATGTTGATGCCCAACCACAGAGCCACGCCGGCCAGGCAGGCACTATAACATTCTTTTAAAAATTACGTAAATGAAGAAAAGATTATTGATTACCAATGTCGGGGGTCTGGAGGTGGAGGATGTGGCTATACCAGGGCAACTTCAGGATCATGTAGTGTTATATTATGTTAATACCATGGCTGTGATATTGTACTAGATCGCTTTGCAATATGTTACTATTGGGGGGCAATGGGTAAAGGATACACAGGATCACTGGGTATCATTTTTTCCAACTATGTGAGTCTATAATTATTTCCAAATTAACATCTAATTTAAAAAACTATAAAGCTTTCAGAAATTAAAAAGGACATCCATGGGTGGTATAGCTTAGTTGGTTGGGCATTGTCCCACGCACTGGAGGATTGTTAGTTTGATTTCTGGTCAGGGCACATGCCCAGGTTTCAAGCTTGATCCCTGGTAGGGCGTGTGCAGGAGGCAACTGAAAATGTTACATTCTCACACTGATGTTTCTCTCTTTCTCTTTCTCCCTCTCCCTCTCCCTCTCTCTTCCTCTCTCTTTAAAAACCAATAGGAAACAAATTATTTTAATGACATACATGGCCCAGCCAGCAAAGTTCAATGGTTGAACATCGAACTATGAAACAGGAAGTCACAGTTTAATTCCCGGCAGGTTGCAGGCTTGATCCCCAGTAGGAGGCATACAGGAGGCAGCCGATCAATAGTTCTCTCTCATCATTGATATTTCTATTCCTCTCTCTCTCTTCCTTCCTCTCTCTGAAATCAATAAAAATTTCTAATAGCAAAACTTTTAAAAAGCTTATTTCAATTAATAGGAAAAGAATTAAGTAAAAAAATATAACATCTACTCAATGGTATATTAGCAATTTTTAAAAATAATTATAAAGACTATATACTCATAATATTAGGTTATAATTCTAATTTTTAAAAATATAAATATTTTATACACTAGTATAATTAGAGTTACCTAATAGTGGAAATACTCCCAAAAATCTAAATAGGTCTGACATCCTTTCAAAATTTTAAGAGCACCTCTAATATGACATTTATAATACAACATAATAGTTGATAAATATCTATTAGCAGTATGATCTTTTAGCAGTATGAAAACATGAGGTAGCATAATTGCTAAAGTTCAGAGAATTACCTAGAATGAACAAAGAAAGGAACTATTTCAGAGAGGAAGGAAGGGAATGAGGATGATTAAGCATTTAAGAAAAAACAAAAACAAAAAAAACTCTGGCCACTTAATCAGTGGTTAGAGCATGTTTGCAGACTGAAGGGTCGAGGGTTTGAACCTGTGGACCCACCTTGCATATTTCCCAAGTGGGCTGACCACTTGCTTTTCCACTATGTTAGCACGTGGGGGAAGCACTCTAAGAGATGGGCTTAGTAGCAACAGGAAGAACCAAAATTGATTCAACTGACCATGAAGGGTGTGAGACGCTGGGATCCGGAAGTAAAGCTGGGTGTGGTGACTAAACTCCTAGGACTTCTCCGCACCTGGTCAGGCCCAGTGCTTGTGCTGCCCTGAGCCACGGAAGGGAGTACAGAACTAAAAGAAATCGGATAACGTGTGCTTCCCAAAATCTTTCAGTCCCCAATCAAGTCTTTAGAGTCCCCTTGACTGATGCTCAGAACTTCAGCTTCTGGAGGTCCCACGAACCAGGAGTGCGCCCGGAAGAAACCATGCCGTGGATCCGGAGCCCTCGTCACTGCCTCATTAACAGCCCAATGACCAGGTCAGAAGGGGAGGACGGAGGGGGAGACTATTCCCTCCACTCAAATCCTTAGGGACTGTTTCATCGCTATTCAGAGTTAGGGAATAGAAGAGGTATTTTGAGTCCTACCAGGGAAAGTAAGACTCAAAAATTGGGCAGTGGTGGCATTCAAAGGAGGTAAAGATTTGTCTGTCTTTGTTTTGCCATGTGGATATGACTTCTGAGCAGGCACAAGACAACTGTCTAGCATTCCTGAGGGAATCCTCCCTCTGTTGCTGCCTCCCACCCTCCAGCCACCATCCATTGGCAGTTATCCTACTTCCTCATCACTGCCCTGCCCATTCTGCCGAGGCAGTCTTGAGTTATATTTAAGAACCCCCACCACACACACACACACACACACACACACACACACACACACACGTACATTCCGGCCTAGCCTGACTGAATATGAGACCCTCTCTTTTCCAGGTTTATGGATCACTCTCTCCTCAATGACAGACTATTCAGTCTGTATTGAGCAAGATGTGCTTGCAGAAAGACAGGATGGTCCGTGGAAGGAGGACAAAGAAGGGGAAAGAGGAAAAAGGTGCCCTGGCCCTGATGGCTGACTAATGGGAGGAGATTGAAAAAGTAGAGTAAATTTTAGATTGGACCAGAAGTCACTTCTATGCTCTGAACGAGAGGGGGAGGGAAGTTAATGATCCCAGTGCCCAAATTCCTGTGAGGTCAGGTATGTGAGAAGTCCTTGAAGCAGCCAGAAGGTGGTGTTAGCTTTGGGAAGACCACCACAGGGGGTCCTAACCTCATCCGCGGAAGAGGTCAGAGTGACAGATCTGGGAAGTCTCACGGGTCCTCACGATGCTCAGGGCGATGCTCAGGGCGTAGAGTAGTTATGCTCTCGGAAGACACTGCAGCTTCACTGTGTGTGTTGGGGACGGTGGGGGGAAGGGGGAGCAGAGAAAGTCCTCTGACCACAGGCAACCGAGGTCCACCCAGCCTTCAGGCAAGAGGCTGCCTCCACACCAGGCTCTGCTGATTCTGACCCAAGGGGGGGGGGGGGCGCCCAGGGCCCGGAACAGCGGCAGAGAACAGGGATTTTACAAAGAGTTTGATTTTATTGATATTTAAATATATTAAATATTTCACTGAAATACATGGTACATCCCCCTCCCCCTCCCACAGTGGTTACAGTATAAAACCAAGTCCCTGGGCCTCCTTTCCACTGGTTTCTCCCACCAACCAGTGAGGAGGGGACAGGATAGCCCGGGAGAAGAGCATGGCTGGCACTGTGGTACAGGGAGCCGGGGAGTGGACAGGCCCTTCCCGCCAAGCAAGAAGCAGACAAGTCACCCAAGACTGCGGTCTTCCCACCCTGGTCTCCTCACACCCTCACCCCCACCCCTTGTCTCCAAGCAGTCCCTTCCTATCCAGGGATATGGCTGGAGGGAGGGAGGTTGATATTCTGTCTGGACCAACTAGTCTTTCCCCTTCTTCCTGCCTTGTCTTAACTAAGTGCCTAATGGCCTGTTTGGTTGATGCATGGAGATTCCCCAAAGGCAGGCAGTTCGAATCAGAAACCGGGCCTCTTCCAGGAGCTAGAGACAGAAAGCGCATCACGAAGGGAACTTGCCCTTTCTACTCCCAACCCGGCAACTCTGGGACCCACTCTCCTTTGCCTCTGATCACCTCCAAGGCAAAGCAGTCTTTCAGCAAAATTCAGGCTTAAATAGGTACAGACAGAGAAACCAAGGCACCAACTGATTCGGGCCAGAGGCAAGAGGCTGCAGGGAAAGGGATAAAAAGAAGGCAGGGATAGGACAGGGATAGAGAATCCAGCCTCCTAACCCTCCTGCCAGCCCTTGCGGGCTTCGTGGGGGTTGGGGAGCCAGAAACATGCTCAACTTAGGCTGAAGGCCGGGGAAGGCCAACTTCCAGGTTCCCCTCCCCACCCCCTAGTACCAGTATCCGGGTCCTCAGAAGGATCCCATGCTACCCCAGTACCAAAGCACACCTCACCCCAAGACACCAGCTGGGAAACCCAGGAGAGTCCTGAGCCTCTGCCCAGCAAACCCCACATAGTCCAGGCTGGCCTCTGCCCAGGCAGGGAGATGGTTATGCTGCACACATGGCCCCAAATGGCACTTAGGGATTTGGCACAAAAAAGACTCTTCTCCCCAGGGACCCCTTCTCTTGCCAGGACACCAAATCCCACTCCTGTGCAACCTGGGTATCTCTCTCCATCCTTTGAAATCTGACACACCGCCTTTTTCCCAGAAGACAGAGGCCCGCAGGAGAGAGGCAGCCTGGGTGGAGAGCTGAGGAATGGGAGCACGAAGGACACAGTCCTGGACGACAGACACGCACACAAAGACCGACATGCACACACACGGCACAGACACACAGGCCCTCCCAGTGCCAAAGGCTTGGGAGGATAGTTTGGGATCAAGGTCATCTTCCTCCATGCCCCGACCCTTTCCTAACTTGGCAAATGAAGTGGTGGAGACGCTCCAGGCCCCCTTGCCAGCAGGCAGCGAGAGAGCACAGGGGCAGGGTGACCTGGTCCTGACCGTTGGGCCCTCAGACCAGAGTCCAGCCCCACCCCCCTCCCTGGCCAGCCGGCTCTCTTTGGCACCTGCAGGTGAATTTTCAGGCCCTGCTCTGACATCCCCACACACATGCCTGCTCTCTGGCCGGGCATTTTCACAGTACCAATGAGGCCAGACGCCCCTTTCCCTGACGCTTTGCAGGAACTGGGGCTACGTCTGAGCTGTCAGAAGTCCCTTTGTTCCCCTTTGGGGACAGATCGTGGGACTAGGATTTGGCAAATGGAAACATTCCCCTGAAATATGGACAGAACTGGGTTCTGAGAGCATCTCCCTTCTCTGCCTGTGCCTAGGAGGGAGACCTGGCTGGGGTCAGGGGGCCCCAGGACCGTGCTGGGGATGCAGGCATAGCAAAGGCAAGCATGGAATAGGCACTCTTCACACCTGCCCCAGTCTTTGTACAAAGTATTCCCGGGAAAAAGGGAAAAAAGGGCCCAGCCCTGAGCCTGCTGCCCAAACGGGGAAAGGGAGGCACGACAAGCTGTCATTTCCACCTTTCCGGCAGAAGGGCTCCCACCGCTACCCCCTCCCCCTGCTCCCAAAAGCTGGAAGAAAGGAGAGAGAGCAGCCCTGCCTCAATTTAAAAAGAAAGTTACTTACAAAACCCTCTTGGTATCCCCTCATTCTCCAGCCTGAGGGCAAATGAGCATGGTCCAAGTACAGCCTGCTGGGTGTTCCCTTTTGTGGTCAGCAGGGTCTTGAGGTACAGCGCCCCCTGCCACAGCTTCATCCAGCAAGCACAGAGTCCACTCAGATGCCCACCTTGGTCCCTTCAGCTAAACTAGTAACTGGGCTGTGCTAACTGCTGGGGCCCCCATTGAGGAAGTAAGTGGTCATCTCTCCTTTGCCCTTCACCTTGACCACCCCTCGACACTCCAGCTGGTAGCCCTTGGCAGCTAGAACCTGGTACAGGTCCGTGGTCACCTAGGAGAAGGGGAAGGGAGACTGCTTAGCTGAGATCCTTCCTGCTACGTTTGTAGGGGCCCAGGGGTCCTCTCATCACACTAGCTGTCCTCCCTCAACCCCCACCCCACCAACCACCCTATCCCTGTCCTAAGGATTGCAGAAAAGGACCCACAGAAGCCCCCTGGACCCATACCCAACCAAGCCTCTGCTCACATGCCCCTCACCTGGATCCGGTCAGGAACCCCTGTGCTGTCCATCCGGCTAGAGACATTCACTGTGTTCCCCCAGATGTCATACTGTGGCTTCCGAGCCCCAATGACGCCTGCCACGACGGGGCCCATGTTCAGTCCTGGGGTGGAGAGAGCAGGAAGACATTTGAGATGAGTGGCTTTCCAGGGTCACCCAGGGAGTCATGTCACCTCCTGGCACCCTTAGAAGGACCCAGAGAAGCAAAGGGACAAGTGTCCTGGTTGTAAAGAATGGTCCTGTCAGGTGAGAAGCTCCCCCGAGGCAGGATGGCTCTGCTGGGACAGCAGCTCACCCACTGAAGGTGCGCTCTGTGCCAGCCACTCTGGTAAGCATTTCCATTAGTGTTTCATCCTCTCAAAAGCCCTCAAAGGTAGGTATCAGAATCCCCACTTTCCAGATAAGGCAAGTGAAGCTAAGAGAAGGTGGATGACTTGCTAAATAAGCCAGTAAGTGAAATATCCAGCATTCAAACCAGACAGTCTGACTACAGGACCTATGCTATTAACCTATGCTATTAACCACTGCAGTTCATCACACTGGCCGTAGGGAAGGGCACAGGTACTGGAGTCGACATAAACCTGGTTTGGAATCCCTGTTCAACCATTGACTAATTTCTTAATCTCTGAGAGTCAGTTTCTTTATCGGTAAGAGGGGATGACAATGTGAGGATTAAAGTGTGAAAACGGCACATAGTTGGCCCTCCATGAATGGTTTTTGTCCTTCACGTCAGTCAATGAAGAGAAAGGAAACTGACAGGTGTCCCGATGGGGGATCTGTGATGCATCCTGCCTGGTCCCTAGGCTTTCCCCAGAAACAGCCCTGGGAATCCCCCCAGCCACCAGGCGCCCTCACCAATCTTCATCTGGAAATTGTTGAAGGAGTGCTCATTGATGTGCTTCATCTGCTCCATCAGCCGCATGGCGTAGTCCGCGAGGGCAGTGATGTGGGAGCGGCCCACCTGGTCATAGGTGCTGGCGTTCAGCCCCGAGGCAGCCATGTAGGTGCTGCCAATCGTCTTGATCTTCTCCAGCTGCCGGAACCGCTCCTCACTGATGATCTGGACAGCACAGGGGACCCCAGTGCCAAAGAGGGTCAAAACCAGCCCTGCCCCCAGTGCCCATTCCTGCCCCCAGTGCCCTTCCTCACTGCCCTGTCTCATCAGCTCCCCTCTTTTAGTGAGAGAGCCTCTCTCGCAGCTGCTGGTCTCGGAGCAGGACTGAGGGGCCAGGAAGACAGGCCCCCATCACCAGGCAGCCATCGGAAAGAACCCAGCCAGGGCTTGAGCGCTCAGCTTCAGGTCCACTCAATAACTCCCTCCAGACCACAGATGGGGTATCAGGCATCAATTACTCCAACCCTGACCTTCTGGGAAACCGAGTCCCCAAGTGGGGAAGTGTCCCCTCCAGAAGAGTGGAAAGCCCACCCCTGGCCTGGGTGTTTAGGACACTTCCTCATATTTGCTTCTATTTCCTCCATTTAGGGGACCATCTTGCTTACGTGGCCTCATCGGGCTCTGTCCATAGACTCTTGCTTTCCTCTTCAATGACATTCACCTGGTACCTATCCTGACTCCTCCAGATCCTCCTGTCCTCCTTTGCTCCCATAGGGGCTCCCCTTTATGCTGTCTCTTAACACTTCATGGGTCCCTATCCTCCCTCCATGCTACTCTTCCCCTGCCCCTAACATCTCTGGGTCCCATAAAACCTCCCTCCCTTCTCCACCCACCCCTCCAACCCAGCCTTCTCAACCAGAGTCCCTCCCACTCTGCCAGCACCAGCCGACTAGACAAGCACCTCATCAAAGTCAGCGATGATCTCGTTGAGCAGCCGCAGGCACTCCACGCCCTCGTTGTTGGCCTCCAGCTCCACGTAGAACTCGGAGAAGTTGGCGATGGAGGCGAACATGACGGCCACGCACTCGCAGGACTGGTAGTAGAGCTCATCGTTCCGGCGCTCCCGGGCCAGGAAGTGGGCGGCCACATCCTTGGGCAGAATGTTGTGCAGCAGCCTCCGGTTGTAGGCCTGGAGCTCCTCCATATCCTCCTTCTCCCCGGTTGCCTGTGGACACCACACCCATCACCCAGTGCCCCCCATTCATAGGGGGCGGGCGCAGCAGCCAATGCCTGAAGGTGGGCATAAGAGGGAACCACGTGGAGAAGGAAAGCACGGACAGATGAGGCCTAAAGAACAGGCAAAGGGGTGAAGAAGGCAGGAACAGAGACACAGAGGAGGCAAGGAGCCAGGGTGGGCTTGGGGCGGCCAGAGCCTTCGCCAGCTAAGGAGATGCATTTCTGGTTTGGCCCAGGCTCTGCCCCCCTAGGCCTCCCCACTTTCCCCGGGCCCACGCAGTCACCTGCAGTTTCCAGAGGAAGTCCAGGCGGGCAGTTGATTCCACCTGCTGAGCGTGCAGATACAGCGCCAGTGCAAACACCAGCAGAATCACGGGGGTCATGTATTTGAGTGCCACCCTCCCTGCAGCTGGGCTGCGGGTAAGCAGAGGCATGCTCAGTGTCTGAAGGAGGTGTCCGGCAGCCCTACCCTTCATGGCCTCAGAGCCCTTACTCACCAGTCCAGCCCATCGATGGTTTCATTGGAAGCAGCCCTGGCAGGAAGACACAAGAGACAAAGTCATCGGTTCGCCCTGGGATACAGAGTGGGGGCAGGGAAGGGGAGACAGAAACTGCATCTACTGAGCACAGACTGCAAACCAGACAATGGGCCAGGGCTCTGCTTATAGTCACTCATTAAGAGGTTCCACTCCTGGCTCCTCCACGTACCAGCTATGGGACCTCGTACAAGCTGCTTAACTCTCCAAGCCTGTTTCCTCATCAACAAAAGAGGGAGGAGATCTAAATAATGCACGCACAAGGCTTAGCATGACAGTGTTAGTTACTACCATCTTCACAACCTCCCAGGGATACAGGTGTCATTGTCATTTAACAGGAGGAAACTGGGGCGCAGAAAAGTTAAGTCACCCGTTCAAGGTCACACAGCTAATGAGCGGCAGAGCAGGGATTCAAACGCAGTGGACTCCGGGGCTTTTTCAACTCCACCAAGCTATGGCCACACATCACAGGGGGTGGGGTTTTACAGAGGAAAAGCCAGAGTGGTGTCCCAGGCAAAACCCTCCAACAGGAGTTAGAGGTTTTGGTTCCTAGCCACGGCTCTGCCACCACGCAGCTGAGTGACACAAAAGTGGACATGAAAGCGTGCGAATTCGAAAGGGGATTTTATTTTTTTATTTTTTTAATGTCTAACCTAGACACAGGGATTTCCCAGCCCCGGTGTTCCCCTGGGGTGACAGTTTGGGGTTATATGCTGGGAGCTCCCCCCACAGCCTCCTTTCCCTGCACTGATGAGGGTGAGTGGTGGCATTCCAAGGGCACAAGGGGCCTGAGCACCAGAGAGAATTCTGGGGGATGAAAGTGCCTGAGGAGGAACTCACAAGCCATGGACGCCAAGCAGCAGATCATAGTTGTCAAAGATGGTGGCTGGGGGGCCCAGCAGAAGCAGCACCAGATAGATGAGCCCCAGGATGAAGATCATGGCCAACTTCCCGATGCTACTGATGTGCAGGAAGACAGAGCTGGCCAACAGACTCAGCAGCATGTTCCCGACGAAGTACTGGGGGCGACAGCGGAGGAGGTGTTGGGTGAAGGCAGGAGCCAAGGTGCCCCCCTGCAGAGAGAGGGGCCTCTCCCTGCCTCACCTAAGCTCCCCTGCCTCACCTAAGCTCCCCTCCACAGCCTCAACCCCGAACCTCTTCCACCCTCCAGTCATCCCCTCAGCACACCAGGGCCCTGGCTGCTCCTGAGTTGGCGACTTTGGTGAGATCCCAGTGCCCATCACCAGGTCTGGCAGAGAGGGGTCAATAAGCGGTGCTAATCAGGAGGCCCCTCCCCCTGCCCGGCTAAGCACAGCATGGGGTCACCTCAGGGAAGCTGCAGGTGGGGGCGGTGCCCTCACACAGGGGAGTATCAAGACCCAGGGAGTAATTGAGCTGCTGCAGGTGGCAGGCGGTGATGTCGGCAGGTGTCACGTTCAGCATCCTCGCCGCGCAGGTTCGTATGGGCGTGTGGTTGCAGGTGAACTGTAGAAGTGGGGAGAGGTGTATCAGGGTAACCAAGGCACAAGGGCCCAAGTTCTCCCTGAGAGATGACAAGATGGGGAGATCAAGGACGGAGGACTGGGATCGGCCTCACTCCCTCCTTAGGGAAAACAGGCTCCCTGAGGGCAGGAGATGTGCCCCAGAGCCCGGAGCAGGGTTTGCCACGCAAAAGGGAGGACCTTTACCATGTTGGCGATGGCGGTGGTGAACACAAGCAGGACTGAGAAGATGCCCACTGCGGTGCTGTGTGCCCGCGAGCGGACAATGCTGCGTGACAGGCGTTGCAGGGCCTCGGGGAAAAGCTGCGGATAGGAGACAGAGGAGTTGGAGGCCACATCAGCCAGGGGGTATGGCCACCCAGGGTGGGGCCCAATGAAGAAACACGACCTTCTCCTCCCTCTCCCCATGTGACCAGCCCTGGCCCAGCCTGCCCTCTCGCTCCAGCCCTGGAAGGCCCCTACTCACAGAGCCACAGGAGTACACGGCGCAAATCAGCACCGTGATCAGCAGCAGCAGGAAGATCCCGACATAGATCCCAAGCATCAGCGTTGAGCTGGGACAGACGAGAGCCCGCAAAAACGTTACTCTGGGAGAAGGGGTGTCCTTGTCCCGCTTCCCGCTCCCCAGGTGGGCAGGGTCGGGCTCCCGGGACTGTGGGCTTCTGCAGATGTTTGTTGGGTGTTCAGGAAGGTTTTGGGAGGTGCTGGAGGGGAGGGAGACTGAGCAAGGAGGGGCAGGGCTCTCACTGTGGGAAGACGAGGAGCTGGATGAAGCAGATGAAGCAGAAGACCAACAGGGCACAGGCCACGTAGGCTCCGAAACGGGGATCCACTTTCTGCGAATACTGAGGGGGAGGAGGCTGGGCTGGCACTGGGCTCTGCCCTCGGGAGGAGCATGCTACCAGGCCTCAAGGGGGAGAAGCCGTTGGCCCAGTTGATAGGAATCCCTACCGTGACCTGTGGTCACCTCCCCATTCCCCCAAACCCTCTCCTGTTCCCTCACCTGTGCTCAGACTTTCCTGCTGGGAGCTGCCTCCACCCCCAGCCCTCCTCCTCCCGCATCCCCCAAACCTTCTTCTCAAGATCCTCCCTCTGGAAGGTGAGCAGGAACCGGCGCACGTGGTCCTTGCGCAGCTGGTCGATGCTGCGGGCGTCGATGGCGCGGCCCAGGAACTCGTCTACCTCGTCCTCGGGGTTCAGAGCATCTTGAGCTCCCCGGCTGAGGGCAGAGGACATGGCTTCACCAGTGCTTGGGCATGGCCATTGAGAGGCCATGCAAAGGGAAGGACATGGGCAGCACCCAGACTGAGTGTGAGCGAGTGTGTGGCACCTGCTCTCACACAAAACATTTAAGGCCCAGGAGAGGGGCACCTCTGCTCCCCACAACCCTGTCCCAGGTGCAAATGCTGTCCCTCCTCCCTCCTCCTCGGTCACCAAACTTACTTGTCTTTGCTGGAATCATCAATGCCCTAGAGAAAGAGACAGAGTGTGCAAGTGAAGAAAAAGCTGTCTGCCCTGTTTCCCCCTCCCCAACACTGCTGAGAGTCCCCCCCCCCCATATTCTTTGGGAATCTTGGGACCCCTGGGATGATATCATCTCTCCCACCCCCAATACCAGAAATCATTCATAGTGATGGCAGTTACAACAAGGCAGGAAGAAGAGGGAAGGGGGACACAGAGTATTAAGGGAGACAAGAAAATGAGGCCTAATTCTATGAAGCCAGCATCACCTTAATACCAAAACTAGATAAAGACAACACAAAGAAAGAGAATTACAGGTCAATATCCCTCATGAACATAGATTCCAAAATCCTTAACAAAATTCTAGCAAATTGAATCCAGCACTGCATCAGAAAAATCATACACCACGACCAAGTAGGATTTATCCCAGGCATGAGAGGATGGTACAATATCCGCAAATAAATAGATGTGATACATCCCATACACAAATTGAGAGAGAAAAACCACAGAATCCTTTTTACAAAGATGACGTCAAAAGCGAAGAAGGAAGCCCCTGCCCCTCCCAAAGCCGAAGCCAAAGCAAAGGCTTTGAAGGCAAAGAAAGCAGTGTTGAAAGGCGTCCACAGCCACACAAAAAAGATCCGCACGTCACCCACCTTCCGACAGCCAAAGGCACTAAGGCTCCGGAAACAGCCTAAATATCCTCAGAAGAGCGCATCCAGGAGAAACAAGCTTGACCACTATGCCATCATCAAGTTCCCCCTGACTACCGAGTCAGCCATGAAGAAGATAGAAGACAATAATACACTTGTGTTCATTGTGGATGTCAAGGCCAACAAGCACCAGATCAAACAGGCTGTGAAGAAGTTCTATGACATTGATGTGGCCAAGGTCAACACCCTGATCAGGCCTGATGGCGAGAAGGCGGCATATGTTCGACTGGCTCCTGACTATGATGCTTTGGATGGTACTGGGGGTGGGAGAGATGAAAGACATGGGCAGCACCCAGACTGAGTCCTTCATCTCTCCCACCCCCAAAATTGGAATCATCTAAACTGAGTCCAGCTGCCTAATTCTAAATATAAAAATCTTACACTGTAAAACGACAACAACAACAACAAAAACACAGTCATATCAATTGTGCAGAAAAAGTATTTGACAAAATCCAACACCCTTTCTTGATAAAAACCTTCAGCAAAGTGGGAATATAATAAAAGCCTTATATGATAAACCTACAGCCAATATCATATTCAATGGGCAAAAACCTAAAACCATCTCACCTAAGAACAGGAGCAAGACAGGAATGCCCACTTTCACCACTTCTGTTAGACATAGTACTGGAAATGCTAGCCATAGCAATTAGACAAGAAGAAGAAATAAAAGGTATCCAAATTGGAAAATAAAACTACCATTATTTGCAGATGACATGATACTATACATAGAAAACCCTAAAGACTCCATCAAAAAATTATTAGACTTAATTAATTTGGCAGTGTAGCAGGATACACAAAATTAACATAAAGAAATCTATAGCATTTCTATATACCAATAGTCAACTTACAGAAAGAGAAATTAAAAAAACAATCCCATTTACCATTACACAAAAAAAATTTAAAAAGCTAGAAATAAACTTAGCGAAGGAGGTAAAAGACCTGTACTCGGAAAACCACAGGACACTGAAAAAAGAGATAAAGGAAGACATAAATAGATGGAAGAACATACCATGTTCATGGATTGGTAGAATCAACATCATTAAACTGTCCATACTACCCAAAGCAATCTACAGATTCAATGCATTCCCCATTAAAATACCAACAGCATACTTCACAGACCTATAATAGAACAAACTCTCCAACAATTCATCTGGAATAAAAAAAAAAAAAGACCCTGAATAGCCACAGCAATCCTGAGAAAGAAGAACAAAGTCGATGGGATCTCAATACCAGATATAAAGCTGTATTACAAAGCCAGTGTTCTCAAAACTGCTTGGTACTGGCACAAAAACAGACATATAGACCAATGGAATAAAATAGAGAACCCAGAAATTGACCCTAACCACTATGCTCAATTAATATTTGACAAAGGAGGCGATGAACATACAATGGAGTCAAGACAGTCTCTTCAATAAATTGTGTTGGGAAAATTAGACAGACACATGCAAAAAAAATGAAACTAGACCACCAACTTATACCATACAAAAAAATAAACTCAAAATGGATAAAGGACTTAAACGTAAGGGAAACCATAAAAATCTTAGAGAAATCTATAGGCAGCAAAATCTCAGACATGTGCCAAAGCAATATCTTCACCAATACAGCTCTTAGGGCAATGAAACTAAAGAGAAAATAAACAATTAGGACTACATCAAAATAAAAAGCTTTTGCACAGCAAAAGAAACCATCAACAAAACAAGAAAGCACACTGCATGGGAGAACATAATTGCCAATGTTATATCCGATAAGGGCTTAATCTCCAACAGTTACAGGGAACTCATATAACTTAACAAAAGGAAGATAAGCAACCTGATCAAAAAATGGGCAAAGGACCTAAATAGATTCTTTTCGAAAAAGGACATAAGGAAGGCCAAGAGGTATATGAAAACATGCTCAAAGTCACTAATCATCCGAGAGATGCAAATCAAAACGACAATGCAGTACCATCTCACACCTGTCAGAATGGCTATCATCAACAAATCAACAAGTGCTGTCCAGAGTGCGAAGAAAAAGGAACCCTCATGCACTGCTGGTAGGAGTGCACTGCAGACTGGTGCAGCCACTGTGGAGAACAGTATGGAGTTCCCTCATAAAACTAAAAATGAAACTCCCATTTGACCCAGTGATCCCACTTCTAGGAATATATCCCAAGAAACTAGAAACACTAGTCAGGAAGGATATATGCACCCCTATGTTCATAGCAGCACAATTCACCATGGCTAAGATTTAGAAGCAGCCTAAGGGCCCATCAGCAGATGAGTGGGTTAAAAAACTGTGGTACATCTACACAGGAATACTATGCTATGGTAAAAAAAAAAAAAAAAAGTAACTCCTACTATTTGCAACAGCATGGATGACCTGAAGAGCATTATGCTAAGCAAAATAATCAGTTGGAGAAAGATAAATATCACATGATCTCACTCATTTGTGGATTATAGTGAACAACATAAATTGATGAACAAAAATAGATCCAGAGACAGAGAAGCATTGATCAGACTGTCAAACCTCAGAGGGAAGGCAGGGGAGGGAAAGGGTAGAGATCAACCAAAGGACTTGTATGCATGCATATAAGCATCACCAATGGACACAAGACACCAGAGGGGTGAGGGCATAAGCGGGGGCAAGGGGAGGGGAGCAATGGGGCGATAAGGACACATATGTAATACCTTAATCAATAAAGAAAATACATAAACGTTTTTTTTTTAAAAAATGAGGCCTAGGTGGGCCCTCACCATCTGGCGAAAAGCCTTGGAGTCCTTGGTCCGGGAGAAGGCTCGATCAGGCACCCAGCGTGGCATCAGCCCCTCCATGGAGTTGGCCCGTGTCCGCTGCAGCTTGGCCAGCATGGCCTTCTCCTCTTTCTGTGTGGGCAGCATGGGCACAGGCTTAGGAGAGGGGCCCAGAGAAGGCCTCTGCCTGCACCTCCCATGTGTCCCTCTCCCCGCCTGTCCCTCCCCTGACCCACCCTGGCCTGACCCGTTTCTGGCTGGTGCCCAGGATGAGGAAGGTCTCGATGTGCTGCTCCTTAAGGTACGCGTTGCGCTCGCCGCCGTGGCCCGGCTCCACCTCATAGTCCCCGTTCAGGTACTGCAGCGTGGCCCGGGTGATGTGGATGCGGCTATGCGGGTACGGGAGGGTGAGACCTGGGCCCTCCCACTGCGCTCCCATCCTCACCACCTGGACCCCACACTCACCCGGCCCGGCCCCCCGCCTCCATGTGGTTGGCCAGAGTCACGTCATTGGACCACACATCGAATTGCCATTTCCGCAGGCCAAGGACACCGCAGTGCACGCGCCCGCTGTGGATGCCCACGCGCATGTTCACGTTCACACCTGTCACCTCACGCACCAGCCTGGGAGGAGGTGGCTCTGGCTCAGCTCCTGGCATGGTCTTCCCTATGGCCATCCCAGAGCCCGGGCCTTCCGCTCCCCTCAGGGCCAGGCGGGCAAGGACAGGCCCGACGTGGGGCGCAGGAGCACAGCCGTGGCTGGTTGTGGGTAGAGAACTGAATGGGGCTCAAGGACAAATGTTTGAGAACTGGGTTCACCAGCAGGGGTCCAGCAGATCTGTGGAACTGAGCTAGGTGAGGAGGGATCACCGTTCTCCCCCTGGGCCTGTTCAGCTGGCATTCTCTCCAGCCCTCGACCCCCTCCCCCTGGGTCCCGCTACCCCATCCTCACTGGCTAGAGTCTCAGGTACTTAGGGGCCTCTACAAGGGCTGAAGAAAGACCCATCCTCCTCCCCAGGGATGGATCGATCTCAAAGACAGAAACTGGCCCACACTAAGAAGAAACCCTGAAAGCATATCAAAGGGTAGGAGCAGTCTGGGGCACCTTCGGTTCCAGGAAGCCTGGGAGGGGTGCTGCTTACGAGATGGCCTCGATCATGTCCACCCCCATCTCCACACAGCAGTGGGCGTGGTCTGTCCGGGCCTCGGGCAATCCTGACACGCAGTAGTAACAGTCCCCTAAGATCTTGATCCTCAGGCAGTGATTTTCCTAAAAGAGAGAAGAGTTGGGGGAGAGTTACCTTACTCTCCTGTCCACCCCGCCTCAGGCCCACCGCCCTCACGGCAGTCTCTATCTGCCTCCACGCCCCAGGCTGCTGCCAGCCAGGCTGTGCTCCCACCACAGGCCACCCTGCCCCAAGCCCCAGCACCCTCACCGCAGCCAGCTTGTCAAACCGGGCAAAGAGCTCATTCAGGGTCATGACCAGCTCCTGCGCGGTGCACTGGGATGCCAGGCTGGTGAAACCTTCGATGTCCGCAAACAGGATGCTGTGGACGATGGGGGAAGATAGGAGGTGCCACATGACCCTCCCAGACTCCCAGACCGCACCCCCCCTCCCTTTTCCTGGCAGCCTTCCACCCCACCCTACCTGACGTTGTCATGCTTCTGGATGTAGATCTTATGGAACATCATGTCTTCTTTCTTTGTGTTAATGTCTTCTTTCATCTCCATGGCAACGTGCTGGGGCAACACTGATAGCAGTAGCCGCTCCTAGACCGGTGGTTTTGATAGGGCACCACTGATTTCCTGGCCTCGCTTTTTTAATCCCTCCTGGTTCCACCACCGTCCCGGAGCCCTCCCAGACTTCTCTGTAGACCTGCGCTTCTCCTCTGGATGGTAGCCTGCCCATCCTCCGACACAGCCCTCAGCAGACGGACAACCCGGCCCTCTCCGACCACCCTCATTCAACCACACCTCAGACTGCTCCCCTCCACCCTCAGGACGGAAACCCCAGTGTCACAGGGCCTCTGAGACACACAGCCAGAGAATCATTCACACTGTCCACAGAGCCGTGTGGGGCAGCAGGTGGAGGTGGGGGAAGGCCCCTCAGGGAGAACAGTCCCACCTGCTGCCGGTTCTCGTGCTGCAGGTGCAACCGGGCTTGGATGTAGCCGCGCGTCTCCTGAAAGGCCTGTCGCTGAGACACCTCCGCCGGGTAGTGCGTGCAGATGCCGATGACATTGGTGCAGAGGAACAGCAGCATGTTGGCACCGAGCTGCAGGAGGGCACAGGGGCCTGGTGACCACCCTGCTCACGCACGGGGGTGACTAGGTTCTGCAGATGAACTCCCTTGGGGAGGAAGGCAGGCATCCTGTGCCATCTGTCCCTAAACTGTCCCCACCCTGCGATACATCTGCCCTACTCACCCCTCCCTTCCTGGATCACTGCGTGGCTAGAAATGAGACCATTACACAGCTCCTGGGAGTGGATGCACAAACCTGGGCTGGCAGATCACGGGACTGAGCCCAGCACACTACGCTTTCCTACCCCACAAATGTCCTAATCAAAAGACAAATGCTGCTGCTGCACCTGTTTCTCCCTGCAGGACAATGCCCAGGAGGCTGAGCCCTACATCCTTCAGTGAGTGCCCAGGACCATCATCTCCTCTCTCCGGGCCTCTGCCTGCTCATACAGAACCCGGAGACGGAGAAGAGGAAGATCTCTAAGGCCCCTCCTGGCCCTGACAGAATAGTAATTACTGTTATTGTTACAGGAGCTCATTTGTTTGCTACCTACAATGTGCCTAGATATGTGTCTTCTATACATCGACATATGTATTTCTTACAACTCTATAAAGTAACAACACTACTTCATGTGAAAGGTGAGGGACTGAGGCGCAGAGAAGCTAAGCATCTTGCCCAAGATCACACAGCTGGTAGTGACTGGTGTGGGACTTGAGTCCAGGGCAGTCAAGACTCCAAAGCTTCTGTCCTAACCCTACTGTACAGTACATTCCAGGTGTCCAAGGTTCCCCCTCACTCCATCTACCCAAGCTCTTGAGTCCCAGCCTCAAAGTCCAGGCTTGGAAGTCATCGATTCTACGGACACAAAAAACCCTTCCTAACTGGGATGGGGCACCAACCCGCCCAGCCACCCCCAACACTTGGCCCCATAACCTAGGGCCCCAATCTCAGCATGTTCAACCCTCAACTAGCTTTAGCAGCACGGATTGGAAGCTGGTCTCAGTGCTTCTGGAAATTCAGGGGTTAACCTGGCATTTGCGGCTCCACCCGAGAGTTGGCTGAGACAGGGCTCTGGTTTGGGGCAAAGGGAGGGAAAGAGCACCAACTGGAGGCCGCAAGCAGACCTAGTCTTGCGAACTGGGCAGGTCACTTAATCTCTGGGGCCGCGGTTTCACTTTTCTTGGGTCAGATGGAGGAGGGTCTGGCTAACCCCTGAGCCATTTCCAGCTCTGACCCTCTGCCATTGGCCTCCTGGTCTCCCTTCCCAGTGCAGATTCCAAGCCCGCCCCCTCCCAGCTGCAGGGGTGAAGAGGGGGGCACACTATCTCCCTCAGGGGTTTCTAAGAATAGCCCCTAGTGGAGGAGAAGTAAAGCGGGGGGGGGGGGGGGGGGGGGGGGGGGGGGCCCACAAACCAAGCAACTTCCCTTCCTGGCCCCAGGAGCCCAAGAGGAAAATGTGAGTCATGATAGAGGGAAGGGGAAGGGGGACGAGAGACTGAAATAGATCTGTACACAGACCCCTATCGAACTGTGAGAAGAAATGGATGCCAGGGCACGGCAGGAGACGCCAAGTGGGGCGGAGTTAACTGGGTGAAACTCTCAGTGTGTCTGAGTGAGTGGGTCAGAGACTCAAGGCTTCTTCCCGGGAGTATGAGCGAGGCTGCATCTGGGAAAGGGTTTCCTAAGAGCCTAGAAAGGAGGCCACATCCCCACCCTACTCAGAACCCACAGCCAACTGGGTGCAGGGAACGGGCCTCAGCTCACAGAGGAGGTAGGGAAACCCTAGCCCTGGCACCAGCACAGGGGCAGGGCGACTTTCTCCACTCCCCCGAAGAATGTGCTTGCTGGGCCCCCCGGGTGAGGTTGCAGCCGGGCGCCCCTGGGGAGGCCGGAGGGAGGCTGGCAGAGTCCTGGCCTTCATGGGACTGGGCCTCCCCAGTCAGGCTCTGGGCACCAGGCCAGCTGAGAGCAGAAAAGAGGCACCCACCCACCCAGATATGGGTGGGAGGGTAAGGGAGGCACCACCTCTGAGCTCCTCCTCCCCCAGAAGGCAGTCCAAGTCCAAAGCTATCCTGGAGGGAAGTAGGGGGCTAGGAGGAGCACAAGGACCCTGGCCCTTTAAGAGGCCTGACAGTGCCCTGCAGGCACATGCTCCACAAACAAAAGGGCTATAAAGTTACTTTTAAAAAGGTACACTCTGTTCTGGGAGGCAGGCTAGGCTGGGAAGGGCATCAGGCCAGAGCACCCAGCTTCTCACCCTGGGAGCCCCAGGCAACTTCCTCTTTGTGGGTGGGGCTTAGGGTGGGCTACGGGCCACAAGCCCTGGGCCAGGTGGAGGCTGACTCCCTCACACCTTGAACACAGAGGTCTCCACCATCAAAATCAGGGTGCCAATGGCAGGGTCACGAGGTGTGCTGGCTGGGGGGCTGTGCCCATAGCAGCCCCTTGAAGGATCACCTGGCAAGACAGCCTGGTCTACTCCCTGGTCAAGGGGATGGCACGAGATGGCCGATTCCACACGTTCCCGTCTCTCTGACAGGGACTTCCTGGATGCCCCTGCGCCGGGTCCCCGCACCTGCAGCGTGCCCCACACCTCCGTGCCCCACGTGAGAAAGCTGAGCCGCCCTGCCCTGCTGTTAGAGTCACTCTGGGAGAGGGTGGGGCCCGAGCAGCAACACCATGAGGCAGACACTATTTTTATCCCTGTTTTATGGACTGGGAAACGAAGGCCGGGAGAGGCACGGTTAGCTGTCTAGGATCTCACAGAGAAGAAGGACCAGGTCCTCCTGCAGCCAAGCCTTTCTCACTCAACTCCAGGTCAAGCCCACCTCATCGACCGCTCACCTCCAAGGCAGCAGCCAGCACAGGGGGAAACCCGAAGGCAGAGCCGCCAGACCCCTGGTGCCCAGTGGGAAAGGGAAGGCGGGAGGAGCTCAGACCCTCACACCTCTTTTCTACAGTCCAACCCCGTTCAAACCACCCCCAGCCCAGGAGCTAACTGACCCACTCTTCACCTTCCCTGTCCCCCCGGAGAGGCCTGGTCCGGGAGAGGGGCAACTCCTCCCTTGCTAACTCCATCAAAACCTGCCCACCTCCTCCAGATCGCCACCCAGAGCTACGTTTCGGAGATGGCACCAGGGCCTGAGTCTCAGGTGTCAACTGGGAGTCAGACATGTCAACGCCCGGATGGTCACCTACACTGGCCTCTGGGCCTGAAAAAGCTCCACGTTGAGCCTCCCATTATGTCACTATGGGCTACGTTACACTGTTTCAAGGACCTTAGCCAAAGAGCTGTAGACTGGGGCCCAGAGAGAGAGTGCAGGCTTGGGTATGGGAGACCTCCCTCCTCTCAAGACTGGCCTCTTGCCCTAACCGGTTTGGCTCAGTGGATAGAGCATTGGCCTGTGGACTGAAGGGTCCCAGGCTCGATTCCGGTCAAGGGCATGTACCTTGGTTGCGGGCACATCCGCAGTAGGGAGTTTGCAGGAGGCAGCTGGTCAATGTTTCTCTCTCATCGATGTTTCTCTCTCTCTATCCTTCTCCTTCTCCCTTCCTCTGTAAAAAAAAAAAAATCAATAAAATATATTTTTTTAAATGTGGTATATATTTTAAAAATATCTGGCTGCCTTGAAGGACAAACTTCCTTGTCAGCTCTCTTAACAGAAGTTTATTTAAATAAAAAAAAAAGAGTGCCCTCTGCCCCAGATCACAAGGGAGGCCAACCCCTGAAACTTGACCTCCCATCACTCACCCATCTTCCCAGATGTAGCCAGACATCCCTGTGCCCCACAGCCATCCATGACGCACCCACCCGCGGTTACCAGACCCCTTCTCATTCTCAGCCTGGTGCCCCCAGACCTGTCTTCCCGGCCACCCACCTGCTTCCAGAGGAAGGCGTCACCACGGTTGAGTTGCCAAGCCAAGATCAAATGCAAGACGGAGAGGCCCAGGCCACTGAAGACAGCTGCCCGCATGCGGATGGGCAGGAGCGTGTAGGTGATGTAGACGAAGAACACGGGGCACCAGAGGCCCGCAGACGGGCTGTGGGGGTTGGCTGCCAAGGCGCCCCCAACCTGCACGGCCGCCAGGATGCCCAGCACCACGTAGCTCACCACCCACATGGAGTCCTGGCGGAAGCTGTGCTGGTTGCACACCACCATGAGCACCACGAAGAGGACGGCCGCGCAGGCCAGCAGGGCCACGTAGGCGGGCTGAGGGCGGGCGGGCGCGGCGTGGAAGGCCAGCAGCACGGCGGTGAGCAGCACGAGCACCGCCATCAGCAGCGTGAGGCTGCTCTGGTTCATCTGGAAGAAGTACCGCTGGTACAGGCGCTCCAGCTTGGCCGAGCGGAACTGCTTGGACTGGAACACCTGCACCAGCCGGCGCCAGCAGGACCGCCTGCTCCTGGGTGCTCCCTCGGGCGCCACCTCAGCCGCCCCGACCGCCACCGTCGTCTCAGGGTCCTCAAAGCCCAGGGCCACGGCCCGCAGCCCCAGCTCGGTGCCCTTGCCGGGGCCACCCCTCCGGATGAAGGGCTCCTCCTGCCAGGGGCACTGGGGTGGGGCTGCGGGGGTCGGGCTGGGCGGCTGTGCATCCCGGAGGCAGCTCATGTAGCGGGGTGCGCAGAGGCCACCGGTCCGAGTCCTGTGACGAGGGCGCTTCTGCCCATTGCGTTCCCCCCAGGCCGTTTTCCGTTCATCCACTTTGGGGACCAGAAGGCCGCTAAACCAGGACATGCTGCGGGGAGGAAAAGAACGGGACAGTATTAACACCATCATCACGGCCGGCCACCACCAGTAGCTGTGATTAACCGAGCATTTCCCATTGCCAAGGGCAGTGCTTCAGACACACCGGGCTCACAAACTGACTCGGAGGGAGACCACGCCATCCCCACTCAGCAGGAAGCAAACAGAGACAGAGGGAGGGGCGGTAATTTGCCACATTAAGTGTGAGGACCAAATCCGTCTGATTCCAAAGCAGTGCGTTTCACCATTCACCTCTTCCCTAAAAGGCACAGATTTCCTGGTGATTACAAACGGCAGCGCCCGTGTCAGCAAGCAAAGCTACCCTGGGCCCGGGGACAAGCGCCAGCCACACCAGCACCATGTGGCCCGTGGCGTCCCAGTGGAGCCTATCCCAATTTTTTCCAACAGAAGCTGAAAACAAGCATATAGATTTCAATGAGAAATCTCCTGATTTTTAAATGCTGGCAAGTAACTCACATTGTTCAATGCAGCAAACCAAATAAATCAAGTCCATGGAATGGGTTCCGCCTGGGAGCTGCCCGTAGGTGTGACCTCTGTACAAAAGGGAATCTTTCCACATCCTTCCCCATCACACTCGCGCGCACACAGAGGCACACCGAGCCGAGCCGAATCCAGCTTCGCCCTCAGGTCACGGCTTACATGGGACTTCCTCAGGAAAGATGTCCCAGCTAAGTCTGGTTCCCTGTTCACCCTCCGTGCATTTCCTCCATGCTCCTTGTCGCAATTGTAATTAAATCACCCTTTAACGTGTGTATCCTCTGACGATACATAGAGCACATCTACTTTGCTCAGTGTTTTAGCCCCAACACCAAGTGCTACCCTTGGCTCATAGGAGGAACTCAATAAATGGATGTTGAAAAGATAAAAAGCTCAAAGACTTTGGTAGAGAGCAGCTGACATGAAATAATGATGATAATATTATGATCCTTCATCTCCCTCACGCACTCCAGCCCTCTGAGCTTGTCCCCGATACACGACGCACAGGCCAGCCTGGGACCTGGCTGCTTGCTGTTCCTTCTGCCCGGGACGAGAGCTCCTCGGCTCACAGCTCAAATGTTCCCTTATCATGAGTGTTCCCTGACCACTCTATTAAAATAGCAACCCCCTTTCCCGGAGCCCCTATCTCTCTTCCTAGCTTTATGCTTTATTTTTCTCTGCAGCGCTTATCAGCAACTGCCACTCTATACACTCCTCTTATGTGCTTGTCTGCAACCTCCCCGGGGTCCAAATACATGTTCGTTAAGTAGGTGAATGGGCGGATGGGTGGATGGGTAACACTCCCATGCACTTTCTCTGTGCCTTAAACTTTTCAGGGTCCTTTTTACAGCCCTAATTCCATCTGATCTTCACCAAAACCCTATGAAGCTGGCCCTGTGGCCACCTGGGCACAGGACAGATTTGACAGGGGAAAAACTAAGTCCCACTGCAGGTTTTTTTTTGTTTTGTTTTGTTTTTCCCACTGCAGTTTTACAGGGCTGGCCCAAGTTACAGAGATCATGAGTAACCAAATCAGCCCCCGAGTTCAGGTCTCCTGGGGTGAAGTGTCTTAACCTGGGTGGGAGGACTCCATGCCAACCCTCTCCACGTGTCTCCCAGCTGAGGCTGGCTCCAGAGGTGAGGATGAAAGCACTGTTATGCAGGATGCCTGTGTGCCCAGCAATGCTACATCCTCTATGCCCACAGGGCACCCGGGGGGTCTTTGAACTTAAACCTGCCATCAGCAGCAGGACATTTGTACTCGAGGGAACACGGGGAGAGTGCCCAGGGCTGGCCCTAGGTGGCCACAGGACCGGCCCCTACAGCCAGACAAGCTGTGCTAAAATCAGACACCCAGGGGCCCACAAAGCAGAATGCAAACTGCGATCTCTCTGCACAGAGGACACCCCCACCTCTGGCTCACCCTCGGCCCAGTGTTCTTGCACCCCTTCTCTCATATCCCCCAGAGCAAGCAGTGCACTCCTTAACATCACCAACAGCACCATATGGAGAGGCAGTCAGAAACCCAAGACTTCTGATCGGGGTGTTATTCGCAAAAGGTCACCAAAGCCTGGCTCTCCGAAACACTTCGTGAGAAGAGTGATCTTTGGAGAGAGACCAGGTTTCGAACCTTATGGCGATTATTTGCTATCTTCACCGCCTCTGGCAAGTTGCTTAATCTCCCTGGCTCAGTTTCTTCCTCGGTGCAATGGGAACAGCACGAGTTGTGAGGAAAGACTCTAACAGTACCTGTCACGTAGCACACACTCAACAAATAGCTCTTCTCCCGCCCCACGCCGCTTTGAACCCAAAACACCCCGTGTTCCACAGATGGAATGACAGGAAAGTCATGAGCAAGAACACCCATTTCCCCAGCCAGTCAGACGCCCGGTTCTATCAGTCCCTGTGTCCCCGGCTGTCAGTCCCCGGAGCTGCTGGAGACAGAGCCCAGGGTGAGCAGGTTTCCCACCCCACCCCACCCCATGATCCTTTGCCTTCGTCTCCTCCCCCTCACCCAGTCCCTTGACCTGTGACTATCCCCACCAGCACCGCGGGCCCAGAACTCTGCTCCCAAAGGACCTGCTGCTGGCCGCCTTCCCAGCCCCTGGAAGCGCATCCTCACATCGGCTCACCCCCCGGAGGACAGGGCAGAGACTGTCCAGGGGAACACATGACCCTCCCAAGAACACACTGCCTCCCGCGAGGGGAGAGCTTCGGAGCTCTGTAATTGTCCAACAACTGCAACCATCCCGCCCCGGGCTCCGCTCCAGGCACTGCCCATCTTGGAGAACTCGCCCCATGTCAGGCTGGCATGGCAGGGAACAGGGGAGGGCACTGTTTAAAGCCACAAAACTTCCCTATATGGTCCCTCCGTCCTCCTTGTCCAGGAACCCATCACGATGAGCCACAGACCACCTCCCTGTTCCCCAGAGACAGGCTCCTGAGCGTGTGCCAGCAAACGTCCTCCTCCCCTGCCGCTCCAGGCACCCGCCGGCTCCCACACGTCCATTCAGCCCGGCGGGCAGAGGCCCAGTGCCTCCCATACCTCAGGTCCCTCCCAAACCTTGATCCGCCAGCCTGAAACTCAAAGTCTGCAGCGGGCCAAGGCCCAGCCCCAAGGATGGCTCTCTGTTCACCGCTTTGCCCAAACCTCCTCCCCGGCCACTTCCTGTCCACCCTCTCTCCAGGGCCCCTCTGCCCCTGCCCTCCTTGGCAAAAGGAGGCCCCAAGGGAATTCATATGACTTCAGAAAGTTCATGGCAGAAGGCACTGCCCGGGCAGGGCCCTCCAGGGCCAGCACCACCCACCATGCTGGGACATGGGCCTCAATTCCAGGCCTTTCCAGATGGAGAGGAGCCTCCCCTGCAGGAGGTCCAGCATTGCCTCCTCCTTGCTTCCCCAGCCCTTGGTCTCCCTAAAGACTGCAGAAGCCTCCCACCTCCACTCCCAACCACACAGCCGACCCGGCGGCCCCACCTCGCAAGACAGTCTGGTATGGAGACTCTAGCTTTGCACTAGGGCCCCAGAGCCGGCTCTCCGGTCCGCTCGGTGCAGCGGCCCGGGCACCACCCCTCCCTTGCATTCCAAGATCTGGGGGGAGAAGAGGGAGTCTTTGCAGACCGAGGCATCCCTCCCTCCGCCCAGGCTGCCTCTCCTTCCCCGAAAACCCGAACTCGGAGGCTCGCCCCGCCGCTCCAGCCCTCCGGACGGCGCCTCCCCGAGCACGCCTCTTCCCGGGCCGGGAATGGGCTCCGGGTGGCGGAGGAAGGGACGCGTGCGGCGGGGAGTGGGGGCCGCGAACCCGGAGCCCCCCATCTCCTCCCCGGCCGCCTTCCGCCCGCCCCCGCGGGCTCCGGGCTCCCCGCAAACACTCCGACGCCCGACCACCCGCTTCCGCGCCGCCCGAGACACTCGGGGAGGCGCCGCGCGGGAGTCCCCCCGCGCCGAGCGCCGCTGCCCCCGCGCCCCGGCGGGCGCGCCTCACCTGCCGGCCGGGGTCGGCGCCTCCCCCGGGCCCCCGCCCCGCCGCCCCCGCGGGCTCCGGCCGGCGGGCGGGGCGCCCCGCGGTCCTGCTCCGAGCCCGCGCGTCCCGGCCGTCCCTCCGGCCGCCAGCCGCCCGCACGGCCCGCGCCCCCTCCGCGCTGTCCAGCGCGGCCGCCCTCTACCCCGGATCCAGAAGTCCCCTCCCCGCCGCGCCCGGCTCCCGCCTTAAAGGCGCAGCGCCTTTTGTCTGTCCCCTCCCCCCCAGACGCCGGCCGGCGGCCGCACCGGCTCCCGGGAGCGGGGAAGGGGCGGCGCAGACCGAAGGAGGCGCCCCCGCCTCCCGCGCGCCCCCTCCTCTCTCGTCTCCTCTCCTCCGCTCGCTTCCTCCCCCGGTCCCGGGAGAACAAGCGGCCTCTGTTCGTTCTGGGATCAAGACCCCGGGGGGCAGGGGGCCGGCTGGCTCCCGGCTGCCTCCACCCACCAGGGGCTGCATCCTGCAGCCAGCCTTCTCCCGCCACCCTCACTCGCCCCTGGGGTCTCCCCCGAGCCCGCACACACACACACACCCGCGCAGCGATCCCTTCCCCGCCCCCCTGCCCCTGCCCTGCACAAGGGGGGTCGGCTTCTGGGCTGTCGGGGACCCCTGGGCCTGCACCGGCACTGGGCGCCCACCCCTCACCCCATCCCACCGGCCTCCCCTGCCGAGCCCCCACCCCCACCCCCGCCGGCCGCGGCCCCGCTCCCTCCCGCGGGAACTCTGTTTAATAATTAATTAAGATTTCATTCCACTAGGCGCCAGGTGTGCGCAGTCTGTTCCCCGCTCACCGCTTTCTCCCTCCTCCCCCAGCTCCCTGGGGCACCGGCCGCCGAGCGAACCCACTGCGCCCAGGGCCCAGCAGGGGGACCGAGGGACCGGGCACTCTCCGAGCTGCCCGCCCGCGGGCTGCACTCAGTCTGCGGAGCTTCTCCTGGCACCTGGCAACCTGCACCGTCCCTCCCCCAGCACTTTT